CCTGCCACTCCATGCGTTAATGCCCCCAATAACTCCAGCAGGTTGCACAATGTAGAGTTCATTGAGTTCATTGAGTTGTAGAGAGCAGGAGGGAAATCCCTTGTCAGCCCCATCGATCTCGTATCATACTGGGTTTGATGCGTGTCGTTGCATTACGACCTTCCTCGAGGGTTCGTCGCAATTGCAGTGAAAGCCGCAAGATTCCAGCATTCTCAGCGAATGTTGGAGTATCAGCCGCTTGAAACTTTCCTCGCGTGGAGCTTCTGCAATTTCTTCCGGTAGGCTGTTCCAATCATTCACCACTCTAGTGGATAGGGTGACGTCCATGCGAATTCTGTTTCTTCTTTGCTTAAACAGTTTCCATGTGTGACCTCGTGTGGAACAGTCACGGTTGGGCCGGAAGAATTGCTGTAACTCACTCCCAGGTTCCCCTCGGAGTATGCGCCTAGTGTAGATGAGATCACTCCGGCGACGGCGGAGCTCGAGGGAGAACAGAGTTAGCTGCTGGAGTCGAATGGGGTACGGTAGATCACGAAGCCCGAAAACAGCTTTCGATGCACGCCTCTTAACCTTTTCCAGCAGAGCGCATTCAAACTTTGAAAGCGGATGGCTAGTGGAAGGCCATATTCTAAGACTGGACGGACGTACGAAGTGAAAAAAAGTCGAAAAATCTCAGGAGTCATTCGAGCAAATGCGCTTCTTAAGGCACCCACCAGTCACCTTCCATTGGCCACCTTCTTCAACATGTCCTGCGTCGTTCTAAGGTCAGGAGTCACGATAACCCCGAGATCTCGCTCGTGGGTGGTAGTTCTGAGGAGAAACCCACCAATGCGATATGCACCGTGCCGTTCAGTGTTACCTATTAGGAGAACAACGCACTTACCTCGTTTTACTGGCAGTTCCCACTTGATGGACCATTCGTGTAGCTGGTCTAGAAACCCTGTAATCTGTCCGCATCCTCAATGCTGGATACAGTCAAACATAGCTTGAGGTCATCGGCGTAGATCAGGCAGTCGATTTGTATTGCAGTAGGCATCATTATCATTCGACTCTTCGACTCTTTTACATCATTGACCAGCTTCAACGACTACTGCCGGATCATTACTAAGACATTCGGCCATCCAAGGAAGAATTTTGGCTGTCAACCGACTGCGAATAATAGAATGCAAAATCGGTCTGTACGATGCATAGCCGACTAGCACTACTGTTCAACGGAGGCTACGGCAGTGTTCCAGAACGCGGTGGGTTTTCGCCTGGCAAGCGTTCTCCCTATAAAAAGCCACAAATGTCCGCTTAACAACACTGCAACGTGGCGGATGTGACTCGCCACAAAATAGTCACAGCTAGACAATTCACACTGACGTAGTCCTCAGCCTTCTACATCCAACCTGTGCAACTGACTTTACTATGCAGAATGCTTTAATGGAGCACAGATCATCCCGATTTCGTAATGGTCATTGATTGCACCAAAACCTTGTGTTGGGCTCCTGTGCTTATGGATCACAACATGGCAAATTTACCCCCATCTTGTATATTGATGCAACAGTTTTTTGCGCGCCACAGCGCCATCATGGTCCTTGATCTGGCTATTACCTGACAATATGCTCGCTCCTATGGACTACATCTTTACTTTTGTTCCTTTCATTAAAACGAAATGTGTTAAAACTTCAAAGCATCTATGCTTGTACGCATATTTCATCACGCCTTTACAGGTGTGTCTCGTTTTACAGGGAATATACCATTTATTTATTTTTTTATTTAATGTACAGTTTGAAGAGCTCCGGTCCATGCACTGATCCTTGGGGAATGCCACTAGTCATAGGCACCGGAACAGAGAGGGTTTGTTTCACTTGTACGCGCATTGTCCTACCTCCTAAGGAATCGGCAATCCAGGAGAGAAGATTTCTTGTAACGCCAATTCCCTGGAGTATATGTGGCAGCGTAAGTGTGGAACCTTATCAAAAGCTTTGCTGAAGTCAATGAATATTACGTCAACCTGTTTTCGGACATCTATGGCTTCTGCCCATGTTTCCCTGGCGATGAGTAAGTTAGAGATGCATGAGGGTGCTCCCCGGAAGCCATATTGAGCAGGTGAGATGAGGTTAAGCTTCGCACAATGTAGCTGGAGGGCGCACTTGACTATTCGTTCCATGGTTTTGCACAGGACTGAGGTCAGACATATTGGCCGGTAGTTGGCTGGGTCTTGTTGGTTTCCCTTGTATTTGGGCAGGACGGTACCTGCTTTCCAGTCTGTGGGTAGGCAGCCGACTTCGAGGGATGGCCGAAACAATTGGCAGAGGGGGGCGGCGACGAACTCAGCTATCGTTCTGAGGAAGCCGGGATGCAATCCGTCCGGGCCTTGGGAGGAGTTCGGGTCCAGTTCGAGGAGTAGCTTAGTGGCTACTTCGGAGTTTATTGCAACTTGATCCATAGAAGAGTAGTGTGCAGGCAAACAGTTGTTGAGCAGTGTTGACTCCAACGAGTAGACCGAGGAATATTGTGCAGCCAGTAGGTTTGCTCTTTCAACATCGCCGTAGAGAACGGTACTTTCCTTAGAGGAGTATAGAGCGGTAATTCCACTACCAGTTTTGGCATTTCGCTTCGAGTAGGCAAAAAGTTTCTTGGGACAGTTTTGGGATTCCATGGCCCGTCCATGTTCATATTGTCGTCTTTAGTCTCGTTTTCTCAGGGTGTCTAGGTTTCTGACAGTTTTGTACTCTAAGTAGCTGGATGTCCGTCCTGTGTTCTTGAAATGATCCCGTAGTTTTCGTCGTTTTTTCATTAGGGATCTTACTTCTTTATCAATCCATGGGGGTCCTTTGGATGGCGGTCTGCTCTTGCAGTTTGAAATAAACTGTTCAATGAGCCGCATCATCATAGATCGCAGGCGTTCCCATGCGTCCTCAAGCTCCAAGGATTGTGGAATACTCCAGTCCATGTTACTTGCAGCAGTTCTTAATCGGGGCTGGTCAGTGCACCAGAAATTTCGACGCAGTGTCCCCTGATCGTGTATTGTGCGGCGTCGTGTCCACGAAAAAGAGACTGTACAGTGATCACTCTTCACAAGAGGTTGAAGGAGCGTTAGATCTGAGACATCAGATAGTACCGAAGTGCGGACCAGGTCGAGAATGTTTGATGTCTGACCAGGGACTATCCGCGTTGGTGTTAAGATATGCTGTGTCAGGTTGCACTCGTGAACGGTACCAAGGAGATCAACTTCAAAGTAGTCAGGTAAGAGATCACTGTGAAGAAGGTCCCAGATTATGTCGGGGGCGTTAAAGTCACCCATAAGGAGACAGTTTGTTCCTCTGCTGTGGGTTCGCAAGGAACGTAATAGGTGTGAGCCAGGTGCTGCAGTGGCTTTGTAGACCACGCTGACCATCAGCGATTCGTATCCGTCATGAATTGAACACCAGAGCATTTCCGTCATCATCCTTGTCACAATCGGGTTCGACAATGTGGGCTTTGAGGTGGTTCTTTGTGTAGAGGATTACTCCGCCTCCAGATCTCCCACCAAGGCAATCGCATCGAAGTAGCTGATATCCTGAAACATGCAACTCCGAGTCGGATATATCAGATGACAGCAAGGTTTGGAGAACGCCATTAAGTCCGGTGGCTGGTCAGAGATAAGGAGTGGAATCTCATCTAGCTTGTTTTTGAGACTGCGCATATTCGCCAGTACTACTCGTAGTCCGTTCTTTATGTTTGAGGTTCTGGAAGGAGAATTGGCCGCCATCGAGCTCTCTGAGTTCTTTGACTACGCGAAAATCCACTATGTGTAGATCTGTTTCTCCATTTGCCCGTCGTGTTCGCAGCTCGCAGACAGCTTGCCTCATTCGGACTCGGTCCTCCAGGGAGAGGTCTTTCAGAACGTAGAAGGCTTCTCCCTTGAGGCGCTGGGTCCGTCTCAGGATGCGTTAGCATTCTTCTTCATCCTGACAGACGATTCTCAGAGGATGAAACTTGGCTGGGTCCTCTTGTTTCCTGCCAAGGCGAAAAGCAGAGATTAGGTTTATTTATTGCTCGCGCTCACCAAACAACATGGAGACCATTCGTCGAGCACCCTTTCAGCTGGAGTCTCTTTGTTGGATTCTGGGACGTTTATGATTATTAGGTACCGGTTGCTAGCAGGTGGCTTGTCTCGTTCCGGTGATGCTGGCTTTAGTGGGCATCTCTTTTCTTGGTCAAGTTACTCAAGCTGCGCTACTCTATTTAAGATGAGTTTTAGTTCCATGTTTTTAGTGGTTGATCTTATCTCGGGTCGTGAGATCTTCTTCGACGCCTTGTTCTTAGCTATGGTTGTCCTCGTTTTTGCTTAGGTGCTGGCGCTCGCAACTGCGGCAAAGGACTTGGGCTTATGCACAACCCATTCCCGATCTCATTGGGCAACGGTGTTAAGTCCAACGTGGAGGAGGACGCCCGGCTTCTTTTCCCTTTCGGTGTAGAATACCCAGACGAGGGCAGACACACTGAGGAGATAGGTGCCTCGTTGTCCGAGTTAGGGACGGCATGCGCGGAAGCAGTATGTACATTGAAAGGGTTGGTCAGAGGTTGCTTGTCGCTGCCCAATGTTAGACACGAATCGCAGTGAATGTTGATGCCTTTAGAGGTAGTACCATGGAGACATTGGTAAAGATCATTATCAATGTTACAGCAAACTATGTTCATCCATCTGTCGCACAGCGCGCTTTGGATTGAGGTGACACTTCTCCCACAGTCCACGCACTTGGACGTCATATCTACCAAAATAAATATTTGACTATAGTCAAATTTCGTCAAAAGAGTCTAATCAAACATTTTTCTCCGCGAGAATTTTACCTAAAAGACTCGAAAGTATAGCGCGTAAGAAAGAGGAGTAACCGCGTAGTACTCACGGAGTTACAGTTGACGTGGCGTAACAAATTTTGTTACAAAACAACTTTCGTTGAAAAACTTCAACATTGACAGTTGACTACCGCTTTCAGCGTTGTGACCGCATACGGCATTAATTATAGATAATAGTTGTTTTAATGCGCCGTTCGCCATTTTTCGCCATTCTGCCTTTGCGCTGATTGTCGTCGTCTCACTTTTCTCGGAGGTTGGTGCTTTTTTGTCTTGAGCTTGTCGTTATTTTTCGACCTAATGTTTTTTATTGGTTACGACTTCGCATTCTTTACTTACTGTGACCGAAGTATACAACTAAGGTTACCGGGAGCACAAATCATTCCTGTTCGCACATATTTACGGCCATTCGGGCGTTAATGGTGGATTCTCATTTTAGTTTACGAGATCCAGCTGTTTTCAATGCAGCTTCAGCGGTTCTCTGTAGGACCTTGTTCCGCAATGACCCAGGCTATCCGCAACGATCGGGAAGTGATGGAGCTGACAAAGGAACTTCCTTCTGCTATCATCCAATGCATTAAATAAGCAGATAAATGGCGTACTATGTTCGGATGAGTTTTTGAATAAGCTTATACATCCCCGATCTTTGCCTAAACAACTTTTTAGTAAAATTGTAAGTGCTAGAAGGTTGCTTGGCCTTTCATCAGCCTCGACCTGAACATTTCTACCCTAAGGGTCATGTAAAGCTCGTGATTTTCTTCCCACTAAATACAATCTAATGAACGCGAATAGCCTTTTGAGCACAAGGCATCGGCAGAACGCCGTCACACAGTACCGACGCTTCACGGCTACGCAACCACCGCCTGTCGCGCATTAAATAAGGATACTGCGATGGCTACCTTGCTCCTACGCAGGCTCGAATCCGCCCTGCGAACTTCCAAGACAAGCTCGTTACAAGGTTAGGGCCAGCGTCTGAGCACCCTGATTCACAATTTTTGTGCCTCTAGTCTTCGTGATTTAAACGCTTTTCGGACGTTTTATCGCTCAAAAACTCATCGTTTTAGCCTATGGCTATAACATCGCGTATTTACGCGTCAAAAGTCGATTTCCGCCTGATGCTAACGATATGTGCAACTGTGTATGGTAGCAGTGCGTCTAAAAAAATCCGAGTGACCAAAATGCGTCCAATTGGGAAGGTTCGGGGGCACAAATATTGGTCACTCAGGTAGCTCCTGCGGATGCATTATCCCTGTCGCAGATTTTTGGTCTTACAGCGAGAACTTTGTCCTAAATGCGTGCTTAGTACAACCCTATTTTGTGATTTTTTCTGGAATCACTATCAATGCGAAAACCTGATTTTGCTATCTCGACGCCTCCATTTTCTGTTGAAAACCCGCTTGCCCTTCCTCGCGGTTGTAGATGTGATTTTGTTCATTACATTGTCCCTTGAAGCGACTTACAATGGAGATTGATCTGCCTTTGCAGTATCTTTGTATGCTTTGAAACTGTTTTTATTGCGGATGCACACTCTATATTAGTATTCCGTCCACTGCTCAAGAGTTTCTTGATACGGTCTTTGGTCATTCCAAATCCAACTTCGCTCGAACGGCGTTAGGAGGGTGAATAATAAGACGGGTAGGCTTGACCACTAGCATCCAAACCCCTATCCACCCTGCTCGATGCTGCAGATAGGGCACCGTTGGTTCGCCTCTGCGACGGTCATGGCATTAGGAAACTGAAGCAAAATTCATTGTATTGCATGGGCCAGATACTCTCACGTTGCCCAGGCCTAGACAGGTGATTAAGGTTCTCAACTAAAGCCTTTGGTTCAAAAACCTGACCGCAAGGCAGCGTGTTTGGCAGTGGGCTACAAGGAGTCCGTTTTAAGGAATAAGGAGCCACCCTCATTCCAACCCCCAACCGGAAGGAGGCTGAGTTTGTCTGACCTCTAACCATTGACCAATTTGGTATGAGTGACTCTGAAGGTGCGAAAGCACCACCCAGCGTAGCTCAATGGATATCTAGGACGCGCAAACCATCACACCACGGTAATGTCCAGCCTCATTGCGATGGACTGGTAGAAGCCTGACAGTAAATGTGTGGTCGGCGCTTACGTACGCGGCTGGCCTTACTGCATGAGGCCGTTGAATCCCAAGTTTCTGAAAGGCAACAACTGGCGAAGGAACATTTGATAATTGCAGCAGGGTCGGAATTGTGACAGTCAGGCCCAAATTACGTCCGTTCACCCACAGACTGGGTGGGAGCCGACCGTAATAAGAACAACCAACGATTAGATTGTGGAAGAAGTAACTGATGATGCCCGGATCATGCGACCCTATTTGGACGATGTACGGCTAAGACTGTCGAACCGAGAAACAAGTGATGTACCAAATGTCCTTTCAATCACCGAGCGATATGCAGATGACTGACGCACAATCAGTAACTGAACCTATGTTCTATTTGTCAATGGCGACCAGTCGATCGCTTCCAGGCCGTTTAGCCTGAACCAAAGGGGGGAAGGGGGGTGATCCGGTCATTCGTCTCTCCAAATCCATCCACTGCTGTTCAGCCGGAAAGCCTGCTGTTCAGAAGCGTGTGTACCTATGTGCGTACTTGTTTGTGTGACAACCAAGCTGTGTCTGCCATTGATTCGCTTCGAACTGGAACTCCTCGTGCTCATGTGACTATCGTAGCAGACAGTTTACGTGCTGACATGCGCAGAGTAGAGTGTACCGCTTCACGCTTGCTACTGAACTTTTCCTACTACCATACCGCTGTTCTGATTTCACCTGGGTGTAACAAGTCTTTACCCACCTTCCGTAATATTATAGCTACAAAGAAAACAGCGCCAGTTGAGCTTTAACGCGTCCACCCAAAAAGAAATCACAGTCAAGCTTTAGTTAAATGTGATACTTTTACTTTGGTGCGCAAAGTTAAAGAAAAAACTTCTGTTCACTGCACAACTGATGACCGAAGGATACAGAATTCCGACGTGTCATTTATCATCGAAGCGATCCGGTGCGATCTACCGATCTCATCAGACGCTCAAGTGTCCGGTTTCCGTTCGATTCCGGATTGAAATCTAGAAAAACATTTGATTTCATTAACAGCTCTGCCGATTGCGGCCTCAACTAGCAAAATCGTGAAGCTCCGTATGACCAAAGGGTTTGCGAGTAGATGACTTCGTGTATAAAGGAGTTCCACGAGTTCGATTTCCTTCTGATATCGGAGTGAAAAAGATGTGAGGAACAAGGGCTTTAAAGTCGAAAAAATAGTTTATACAAATTAAAAAAACGCGCCTACATGCATTATCATTTTCGCTAAGTTGTAGAGGACAGAAAGAAGGTCCCATGTTGGCCCCACCATTTCCATTTCAACACTGGGAGCACGTATGTCGCGGCCCGGTAGTCCTTAAGGAACCGGAACAGTCACTGTAAGACAACACGACCTAGATGTCTTACGTGTGTGGATGTCCAACTTTCCTCGGTCGGCGCATTAATAACAGGCTCCAGTAGACTGTTCCAGTCTTTAAATACCCGAGTGGAGAGCGGCAACGGTGCGGACTTTGGGTCTCCTGTTCGAATAGCTTCCAGTTGTGATGAACCACTTACATGTATCCGGAAGAGCTACTGTCGCTCTTTCCTTAGTTCCCCTCTCATGGAAACAGTATTCCATGCAGAACAGATTCTTCTGAAGCTGGAGGGAGTAGGGGAGATACGAAGCCCGGAAACGAACTTAGAACCACGCCTCCGAACATCCGATTAAGGCACATTCATGCTTAGAATACTGAATACTGTATTTTGGAGCAAGTAGAAAATAATTCTGTACAACTCCATCGGGTGATAATCAAAAACATTTTTTTAAAAATAAACAAACACGTCCGGTGGTTATCCTGAGATGGTTCAGCAACTCCTTTTGTAGCACACAAAATGCTTGTTCACACAGTGAGTCACAAGTGGGTGATATCGTTGTCAAGTGGCAACCGTTCTCTGAAACGAATGTTAGCGAAGTGTAAGTCCAACAAAGATTTGAATTTCTGCACAGATTCGGCCTCGACGACGTGTCCTGGCAGACTGTTCCAGGCGTGCACAACCCTCCGCTCGAAACACAGGGGGTGTGGGATTTTCTTCAGATCAGGTACCACGAGTTTGTACCTGTGCCCACGTGTGGTGCATGGTACTCGCAAGTGGAGTAACGACATCAGCATGGGGAAATGACCGAGATGTAAAATACGGTAGGTCAGGATAAGATCCACTCGAACACGGCGATCCGACAAGGTGTAGAGCCCAAGTTTCATGCACCGATTTTCCTACGATAAGCCTCTCAAGCTGGGGATCAACTTGGTGGCGACGTGTTGTACTCGTTCGATCTTTTGCGCTTCGCCGCGAGTGATCGGACAGTATGCAGGCGAGCCGTACTCTAGCATTGGTCTGACGATGGAAGAGAAGAGGCGAGTGGCGACGTCCTCAGACCAAGTGCAGAAGCTGCGCTTCAGCGCCCAGAGCATGCGCAGTCCGTTTCGATACAGTTTGTTGGTGTTGTCGAGTGGCAATAATCTCAACAGGCTAGTAACTGGACATAGAACCTACAGAAGTCATGGATAACAGATAAATGCAGTCGCTTGTCATAATCATCTTGCCACAGTTGAAGGTGAGCAACGAGCTTCAGCTACTGTGTCGCAAGAAGAAAGGAACATTTGACAAAAGTGGCAACATTTTTAGTTTGATTTTCACGCCAATTTTTCTTTTTGGTCATTTTCAATGTTTAAGGTATTGAACATGTGAATCAGTACGATTATGTACACAATTCTTTCACTGATTTTGGTTACAAGCCATAGCTTCAAGCGTGTTAAGCCGTTGGCACTCTTCATCCTTGGAAGACGTACGGCTCCAACGATGGCTAGATGCGGCGTCAGTGATTTCATGTTTTGTCGTCCAGTGGAAGGCTGACCACCACGCAGTCGCCTCCAGCTAGGTCCTTGACGATCGAATAGATTGCGACGCGGTAGACGCTCAGGTGCCATGGGTAGAACATGACTGAACCATCAGCTGGCGCAACAAAACTAGTTTGTTTAAGAAAATACATTCCCCATGATGTGATCTCAAGCCTCATTACTGTTAACTCGATGTTACCACCAAACACGAGCAATCTTCCTTGAGGAACCGTTATCGTAGGTAGAAAGATGACGCATGTCTTTTACGCGAATCGGCCACTACTCGCTCCCATACACCAACTGAGCGAACAGGCGCTGTAAAC